CTCTCTTTTTTCAATCACGGTTAGTCCCCTTACACTAAGACGCTGATGCTGCACATTCAGTAAAACAACAAATTTAACAAATATATGGAACAATAATCAATTCAGTTCAGTTTCAGAAATGTCTAAATTGGCATGTAGCAGATGTCCTGCAGGGCAACAAACTGTGATTCTTTTGTTGGGTTAATGTTGATGTAGAACTTTTCTTAAATTGTGAAACCTGTCAAAAGACTTTACCAACAGTGTTTCTGATACAATTCATCTCAACACATTTAGAGGTTTGTAGAGTCGGAGTTTAAATTTCTGCTTATTTCTCTCCTTTCATAGAGTCCCGACTACTCTCCTCCATCTCCACCTCCTTCTCGTGAGGTGCTTGGTTCAATATGTTCTGTTCTTGGACACTCGGCTCCCCCTCCACCTCCTTCTTTTATGAAGCTTGCTGCAGACGAAGTTCCCCCCCTTTCTTTTCCTGGACACTCGGCTCCACCTCCACCTCCACCTCCTTCTTTTATGAAGCTTGCTGCAGACGAAGTTCCCCACCTTTCTTTTCGTAGACAGTCGGCTCAACCTCCACCTCCACTTCCTTCTTTTATGGAGTGTGCTTCAGACGTTGTTTCAGGACTTGTTCAACAACCTCAACTGTCCAGCTCTTTTTTATTTAATCACTGTCCTCTTAGTCAATCCATGGATTCATTTTCATTTGCCAGACATCCGTCTTTCAGCCCAGATTCTTGTAGTTTTGGCTTTGAAGTTAGAGAACAACTTCCTGAGACGTCAGCTCCATCGGTTTTAGAGCACCAAGCGAAACCTCACTTCCGAAAGTCATTATCTCGTCGGGCACAGAAAAGACCCGAGTTTAAGAGTAAAGACTTACCTGAGAAGTCCTATTTGCTTACCGAATCGTGCAGCCTCAGTCTTCTTGACATTGCTCCTGCAGCAGTACCGTCTCAGATGGTTGTTGAAGCTGTTGAAGGTTCTCTGCTTGTTGCACAGACTGCCACAGACAGAGCGCCGTCTTTTTGGTCAGCTACGTTTACTTCCAGTGGCTCCACCTATGGTGGTGCTCTGGGTTCTACAGTGGTTCCTGAGACGTCAGCTCCATCGGTTTTAGAGCACCAAGCGAAACCTCACCTCCGAAAGTCATTATCTTTTCGGGCACGGAAAAGA